GCGTCCTCAATTCCACTTCTAACCACTATCCATCTTTGCGTTGTGATTTTAAAAGGATTGACACCTTCATCATTAGCTCGTACTTATTATTCAGTTTTAACATAAGGTAAAAATTAAGTGTATCCAATTTTGTTTGTCCTTTATTTCTTTGTTTTACACAAGTTAAAATATGCTATGACCTACGATGTTTAGATTGTTTGTACTATAATACATTAATCATCAAAGTTTATGTTTATCTAATATGATCATATTTCATAGGACAAACTATACATAACATAAATCATAAGAGAGATAAATGTACTTTGTATTGTTTGTTTGATTCTTCCCATTGATGTGTTAGGACTGCAATTGATCAATCTCTTATTGGCATATGTGCATACTATGCATATCATCTCGATATTGACTTGATTCAAAAACATTCTAAACAAAGTAGGATAGCTGCTAGCAATGGAATCGAGGACGCGCGTTTCGTCCTATTTGGGACTTATCAGCTGGATGTACCTGCATCACAGACATACTGATGTTCACTGTAGAACTTGATCCCAGTATCAGAAAGCACCTTCTAGATTCCACTGCTAGCTACTATTCATCTTTGCTTATAAGACAGATAGTTAATTTGGTAGGAAATAAATGCATAAGTTCGGAAGTAACCATTATCAAGTTTAGAACGCAGGTACATCTAGCTGAAGACTGCCGAATAGGATGAAACATGATTCCTTCATTCCACCGTTAGTCACTATTAATCTTTGCTTATAAAGAAGGTAAATCTTTTCTTCTTCTGAAACATTCACTCCTTCAGAAAAATGTTGACCCAGTATATTTTCTTTATTGTCATAAAAAGATCAAATTGATTAGATCAATGTTATTTATTGATGGGATGATCTTTTTCTTTGATCAGTAAACTCATCACATTGTTACTTAGTGAGATAAATCACATGAATATGACAAAAATAAAGAGATCCGATATATTGAAATGTCAACGATTTGAAGAATGTATTACATCAAGATAATACAAACTGAACTAAGGTTGTCAAATACTATTTTATCAGTATGGGGTTGTGGAGATGGTTAAGTTTTTGATTAAGATCATGAATCGATTGAAACATCATTAAAAACCTGGAAGCACTAGACAGGCGTTTCGTGCTAATATGGTACTCCTCCGCAGCGCGCATTCACGATCCTGCACGCAGGATTCGAACCTAAGGTCTTTAGTTTTGAGAGCGAACGCTTAACCTTTAGACCACTGAGCCATCATCCGATGGTGTTAATGCCTAACTTCCATCGATCCACGAATGGTTGATTAGTGTTTTTTGGCTGCCCTCTTTTCAAGGGATGTTTGTGAATCGCATGCCTGGCTCTTCCGGGCTCGGGATGAGCCGTAATCGTAGGAGGGCTGCAGACTGAGTTATATTTTCAATGTAGGATACCTAAACGTTTTGTCGCAATTAGAACTCACAGACTTGTCATTGTGTATCTGAATGCTTCTAGTATAGTAATGAACAGATGTCTGATGTTGTGTTGTAAACTGAGTAGGGAACTATTTTGATAAATGCTTTCTCCATCTCCTTAATGTCATAGCTCGGCCAATTCTGTTTCATAAATGTGCATCTATAATTTTAAATTATTTTAATGAGCCAGTCTTAGATGAGAGTCAGAAACTTCAATACGAACGTCAACACAGTTCTACTGTACGGAAATGAAACTTGGAGCACTACTACAACCATCATCAAAAAGATATAAGCTGGATATACCTGCTTGCAGACCTGTTAATTTTCACTTTGGGACTCGAACCTAGTATTTTTCTCTTCAAACGCCATCGCGTTATCCACTCAGCTACTGAGTCCTGATAGCCACTTGCTTGTGCAATGGGGTGAAGTTTAAATTCACTTAGTGCTATTTGTTTGAATTTTCCCATTGATGTTTAGGACTGCAATTGAACAGTCTCATATTGACATATGTGCGTACTGTGCGTATTGCTTCAATATAGCCTTATTCCACAAGCATTGTAAGCAAAGATGGATAGTGGCTAGCAGTGGAATCCAGCTTGACGCGCTTTTCGTCCTATTTTACAGTCATTTGTAGTAAACGTACAAATTGTGAGTATTAACAAAAGAAGTGAAAATATTTCTTAAAACTTAATTACAAAATAAGTCTGTTATGACTATCTCCAATCAACACCAAGATCAGAATTTTCATTACAAATGTCAACACAGTTCTACTGTATGGGGCGGAGACGTGGAGAACTACGAAAGCCATTATCCAGAAGACACAAGTGTTCATTGACTGTTGTCTACGCAAGATACTTCGGATCCGTTGGCCAGACACTATCTGCAACAACCTACTATGGGAGAGAACAAACCAGATTCCAATGGAGGAAGAAATCAGGAAGAATTGTTGGAAATGGACAGGACACACATTGAGAAAACCACCTAATTGCATCACAAGACACGCCCTCATCTGGAATCCTAAAGGCCAAAGGAGAAGAGGGAGACCAATGAACACATCACGCCAATAAATGGAGACAGACATCAGAAGAATGAACAAAAATTGGATAGAACTAGACAGGAAGGCCGAGGACAGAGTGGGTTGCAGAAAGCTGATTGGCGGCCTATGCCTTATTGGGAGTAACAGACGTAAGTAATACATAAGTAAGTAATGACCATCTCCACATAGCTTCATTCAGCGTGTCCGGAGGCAACACTGAGATGTTTAGTATGTTAGTGTACAGAGTTATATGAATGTAGTCGAGTACAACAACAACAACATCGACAAATATAAATAGTATCAAAGAGTAATCGCAAAGTAAGTCTGTTATGACTAACTCCATAAGTGTTTCAGCTAACATCTAGATGTTAATAACAAATTTACCCTTACAACTGTTCTATTTATTTACCATTTATGCAAATTATAGACGAATCATAGAAAATTTCCTTCCTTCTTTTAAATTTCTCATAGATACTAATACATTTCGTAACATTAATCCTAATTGATTATTTTTTGTGTGAAAAAGAACACTGTTAGAAATTTCCGACTGAAGTATATCAATTATTTTGTTTAAAAACTGTCCCATAGCAGAGTTATCGCATCTCATAAAGAAGGTCTAGATTCTTCGAAAGCCGCTACATCGATCTACCTTCTGACAATTAGAACAATATAGATGTAGGTATACGGAATGTTTAGATAATATGGGAGACTAGGAGAGTCATTCGAATAGCCACAGAAATGAATAGACATTACCTGATCGTGATTGACACAAGTTAGAATTGTTGAATACAGTTTTGACAGGAAAATTGACTTTAGGAGAACGTTTACTGTATTCTGTTCATGGAGGAAATATTTCTGATCAGTTGCACTGTTCAAAGAGGTACAAGAAGCATTTATGATATATGAAACCTATGCTTCTAGGGTCATAGGATATCCATCAAAGAAAAGGAGACCCATCGATGATGGCAGTGAGGACGATAAAAATCAGCCGCAGTTTGTCCTAGAAAGATATCCATGAAAAGATCTGACCATTTTGGTGGAGAACCTAAATGCCAAAATTGAGATGGACAGCAATATGTGGCAAAGCACTATAGGGTACGTTTCTTGGCTCTTACAGACAATGAATGGACGTGGCAAAGGTAGAAAGTCTCGTAGGTAGTCCAAAACACGACCAGTCCGTGCTGGTCTGCAGTTCCCGATTGGTCGTGTCCATCATCTTCTTCGCAAGGGGAACTACGCAGAATGTGTCGGGGTGGCAAGACTATAATTTATGGACGACATTTGAATGAATCTTAAGTGACCTTCAGAAATATTACCCAATCAGTGAACAGTCAGCATAGAGTAAAAATATATTCTTCAAAACCAAATAATTAAAGTGGATATACTTTTTTTATATGGTCCAAAAACTTGTCAAGGTTAGAAGAAGATTCAAAGGTTCCAAAATCGTAATGGATAAGGTAGGAGAACTCATCCATATGGCTTCATAACAGTTGCTCTCGGGAATCATGAAAAGGTCACGAAAACCCTCTCAGCCTCGACCACATAGCTTCACTATATTGTTTGTGTGTACTCCGGTTGTGTATGTTTATCATTTTTATTATGAATATGTCCCTACAATACTCATACCACTGAACAGCCGAAGCTTCAGTAACATCTGCGAATATTGCAGCTAATGTTACCAGTGCTTTTATTATACAGTTGGCGGCAATTATTATAATATGCCTTCGTTTCAATCTGGATAGAGCGATAAAGGTTCCTATTCTAGCAAACGTCTTCCTTCAACATATATTACATCGAAGGAGAACATCACGGTAGTCTGCACAAGGTCTACAACTCATTAATTACTCGTAATTACAAATACAGGAACTTATTAGTAGTTTCGTTTGTTGTAGCCGCCTAATTGCCAAGTCTTTTCTAAAATTCTCTGTGAAGCGATCGTACATGAGCATCAGGTACTGAAATTAGCGCCTTGACCTTGAAATCCCTCGAATGCTTCTGATTGACTCGTGCATAAATTATAGTCTCGCCGTCTGGGCTTGTGCACCTATCTATTTGTCAGCTGTCCTCGAGTACCTGGCGGCTGAAGTCTTTGAGTTGGCTGGCAATACCGCTTGAGACAGCAAGAATATCCGCATTATCCCTCGCCATTTACAACTGGCCATCCGCAATGACGAAGAGTTGAACAAACTCCTCGGTGGTGTAACCACAAGTGTTTCAACTAATATCTAGATGTTAATAACAAATTTACCCTTACAACTAAAATTTTCCTTTTTTTTAAAAAATTTCTCATAGATACTAATACATTTTGTAACATTCATCAAAATCGATTATCTTTTTTTTTGGTGTGTGTGTGTGTGCGAATATTTTTTTTATTTTTCAACGAACGAGTTAATTTTCTTATAGAATATTTCAAAAAATCTGATTGGTTACAATTTACTGCTGAAATTTGATTGGTTAATAATCTTTAAAAATAAAAAATAAAAAATAAAAAAAATTAAAATAAACATAAATAGAATTTTATTCTTTATTATATTTCTCTCTTTTTTTGGGGAAAAAAGAAAAAGAAAAAAGAAAAGAAAAAAGAAAAGTAAAAGAGAAAAAGTTTGGAATACTTGGATACTGAATTGGGATCTATTCATCATTTAAATACACAAAAAAACTTTTTCCCTCGTTCTGTTCTCCTCCTTGTTCTTCTACTACTTCTGATAAACAAAAGACGGATGAATGTAATGTAAACTACTTAAACAATTACAAAATTCCAGTCTACTAATTACTATTTAGTAGTAAATTCATAGAAAACATTGAAACTTCCACACCAAAAAAATTTTTCTGTTTTTTCTTCAATGTGTGAAGAGGTATCAACAACCGAACTCACCTTAGCAACTAAAAATGATGAGGATAATAATGATGATAATACAATGAAATCAAATGATTATCTGAATGGATTAACATTATCCACATGTTGTCCACCATCATCAACAGAATTATCAACTCCATTACTTATGATCACTAGTCCAAATGATACTGTTCCATTGGATAAATTATATAATATGGATGATATATGTTATCATGATGAACATCAACAACAAGGAATGGATAATCTAACCGTAGATAGACCACATTTATATTGTATAAGTCCTTCTGATAAGGATCATGTGACAATACATTCATCTATGAATAAAATAAGACGACATAGTGATCAAGGTAATAGATTATCATTAAAACAATCTAATCTATCTAGTATATATAAACGACAAAGTTTATTTAATATTAATACAAATACTACTAATAATAGTAGTAGTGGTAATAGTAATACTACTAATAATAGTAATAATATACATGACTTTTATAAAACACGTTTATATCCACCGACAAGATTAAAAAATTCTTCATCATCTAATGTGGATTTATTAGCTGAAGCTATATTGAAAATGCATGGAACATTGAATTGTAAGTCATTATATTGAAAAAAAAAAAACTTTTTTCTTTGTATTGCTTGCCAATAGACAAATAGGTGATCCAATGTCGACATTCTAGAATGTTCCTCAAGAGGTGATTGAATTGAATGTCTTCGACTCGTTCTAGGCTACTTTGAGTTTGCCAACAAGTCATCCTTACAGAATTTAACTAAATGAGGGAATAAATTTGGTGCCAAAATCCATGACATGTTATCCTATATCTGATTGGTTCATTCTTAAATTACACATGGAATCATATTGCATTTGTATGATTAGAATGATTTATATGTGTTAAATAGTTGATCTAATATCTTTTATGCATCGTGTACTTACTTACTTGATTACTTAGGCCTGTTACTCCCATTGGAGCATAGGCCACCGACCAGCGTTCTCCAACTCTCTCTGTCCTGGGTCTTCCTTTATAGTTCTATCCAGTTTTTGTTCATTCTTCTGATGTCTGTCTCCATTTCTTGGCGTAATGTGTTCTTTGGTCTCCCTCTTCTCCTTTGGCCTTGAGGATTCCATTCGAGGGTTTGTCATGTGACGTTAACCAGAGAAAAATTATTCAAACCATTTTTTTATTGAGTTTAATTTAATGTAATAGTACATTCTTTATAAATAATGATGAATGATGGTTAGCAGTAGAATCCAAGAGGTATGTTTCGTCCTATTTGGAACTCGTCAGCTGGATGTACCTGCATTTCAGACATCTTGATGTCTACATCAAGACTTGGACCCAGTATTGTTTGCTTCAAACGTCATCATATTATCCAATTAGTTACTGAGTTGTGATGACCATTTGTTTGTTCAATGGAGTGAAGTTTAAAGTCATTCGGTATTGTTTATTTGAATCTTCCACTGCTAGCCGTTTATCCATCGAGGTGATATGTACAGAATGCATATATGTCAATAAGTGACTGATGAATTGAAGTCTTAAACATAAATGAAAAGATTCAAGTAAACAATATTAAGTGAATTTGAAAATTAATAGTGTTTATAAAAGAAGGCCGTTGCCAATCGTTACGATTTTATGTCCGACTTTTATCACGTGAGTTATCCGCCAATCGGAATACGACTTTCTCCAATCTTAGCACTGTGCCAAATCAATGACGTTCGACCAGTATGAGCAGTCTAGCGTCCTTATTGGTCACTTGTCCGCCTAGCCCTTCCAATTAAGTCCAGGACGCTAGAAAATAATATTTGTACAAGATCAAGCCAAATGTGGCTGTGAACATGGAAGACAATAATCAATAAACTGAATATAATTTAGGGACAGTAAATCGTACAGTAATGATCCATAGGTCCAAACGAAGCTTATAATAAGATGAATATAGATATACACAATGTAATTACTCAATAGTTAAACAATAAGAATATATATAGAATAATAGTCCATGAATAGGTCCCGTAAGTTACCCGTACTTATGTCTTCGCTAGGATATAACACTTATCGTCAACAACGGGGACCCATAGTTCAAGTAAAGATATATTTTTGTGATCAACCTTTTCTAACATCCTGTCGCCGTGCCCATGTACCCTAGGCAATACAGTTTCGCCTTAGGACAATAGGTTCGCTACTTTAATTGTTATCAGTTTCCAATCGGCTCACTTTATCAATTGTTTGTTTATGAATGGTATGTTGTGGTCTAGAAATTATATGAATGATAAACTTAAAAATGGAACTAAACACTTAGAATGTTCTGTAGAATGTTGATCAAGAAACCTTCTAGAGTTATGGTATTCTTAAGTTAAATACTTTTATAAATGTATACTTTACTGTTGTGAAGGAGAATAGAAGTGGGAGACAATCGAATGTATTCGAATACAACATTACAGAATCTCTTATTAAAACCTCAAAACTAGACTTGACTGTTCTTTCGTTTCCGCATCAATCACTGTCTATTGTCGTTCTCTTTTCTTTGATCTTCTTAACTTTTTGCCTCTAGGTATTTCATTATTTATTGATGATATATACTACTTATACTATACATACTACTTACATACTACTTATATTGTCGACACCAGTAGTATACATCACCATTCTTTATTCGCGACAAAAAATCATCCTCTTAAAATTAAGGCACTTATTATATAAATGATTATACTTAAGGTTCAAACTGTATTACTGATACTCTAGTTTTGAGCTACCTTACAGTTTCGCTACCCTTCAATTACACATATATAGGTCAATTGACTATGAGTAGTGACTGTAAACGCTCGCAAATGAGTCAATCGAGAATTCTATCATTATACCTTAGTAATATCGAAATCTTAATACATTATAGTTCGAGATAAGAAAGTGGTTGGAGGTACTTTTTCTGGTTAGCGTTTTTTTAGCTAGTTGATTTTCTATGGGATGGGGTCGCTAACCCCATGCCCAACCCTCCTCCTTTACCCGGGCTTGGGACCGGCAGTAACCCCCAGAGGAGGTACAGGCAGAGTTAGGTGGTCAACAGGAAACCCTGGACCCAGGTTTCGTGTTACTTGGCACTCGTCAGCAAGGTGTACCTGTAATCTTGCCACCTAGACTAGTAGCCACATTGTAACTTGATCGACAGCATTTGATCAGCACTAAGAAGGACTTGACAAGCATTACATTGATCACCACCCAGTGATCAGTCTATTTTGAAAATATAGTTTGATTTTGAATTTTGTTTAAATTGACTTCCATAACTAACTCGATCTCTCCTATCAACACATTTAACTGGCGGCCTGCTTAAGCATCTGGGCTACCTGTTCCTGACATTTATATATATTTCAACAAGTTATCTAATTTTGTTTGTTTCAATACATCATTATGGGTATTATTTGTACAATCTATTCAGATACGTTTCTGAGAAGTTATTTCATTCCATTGTGTTAGGGTTGAGATACTGCCCAGGTGCCCAAACCAAAGCAGGTGGTTTTCTTAGGAAACTACTGCCGGAGCCTTCAAATTAAAGGTCTGATCCGCAATGCATTGGGATATCGTGAGAAGATGCAGTCCAGTGGTAACCGGTGACCAACGATTGATTCATACGCCATTTGTTCCTTCAAGATACTAGAGTAAGCCCATGTGCACCATTGGTTTGAAATCAGGGTTTTCCAACTCCTCTCGGTGAACCCTCCGTATCCACCAACCCGGTTAAAGCGCCTGACATTCGCTTTTCATCCTCTCAATTTCATAAACAACAATAATACCACGAGAAAGCAATGAGTAAGACTCCTCTGGCACAGGCTATAAACGCGTGGCCATGTAAGAGCATTTCGAGAGCTGACTTTCCCCACTCTTGGTCGTACCGGGGCATTTGGGATCCGATTGACTGGACTGCTAACTTCTAACTGGGGACCATCCAATATTTATCGTCAGAATCGACAAAGAATTAAGAAACTGGAACCTTTTGAAATACTTTGTGCTGAGAATTCTATATTGTGTACTGAAAATATAATAGTGAATAAAGCTAATAGTAATAATAATTTAACTTATAATTAAATCTAATGAGTTGTAGAAATATTATATTTCAAAAAAATTATGTTTGTCTCCATCCATTGTTGAGTTTTATATACAGAATTCAATAATATAAAACTGTGGTGTAAATATATTTACGTCAGTTACCCCTCGTGGAGGAGCAAAAGCCGACCACCAGCATTCTCCATACAACCCTGACCTCAACAATCCTTCCCAGTTCTTTACAGTTAACATTCATCATTTTCATATCTGCTTCTATTTCCCGACGTAATGTGTTCTTTCGCCTTCCTTTTTTCCGCTTTTCTTCCGTATTCCAAGTTAGAAATTGCCTCGTGATACAGTTTGGTGATTTTCTCAATGTATGTCTGATCCACTTTCAACATCTTTTTTTAATTTCCTCTTCATCTGGAAGCCGGTTTTTTCTCTCCCGTAAAACGCTGTTGCTCATAGTATCCGGCCAGTGAATGTTGAGTATTTTGCGTAAACAACTGTTTATAAATACTTGTACCATCTTGACGATAGTTGTGGTACTTCCCCACGTTTCAGCTCCATACTATAGAACTAAATGTTTTGACATTCGTATTGAAGATCTTCACTTTGAAATTAGTTGAAAGTTGTTTTGAGTTACATATGTTCATTAGTTGTAGAAATACTGCCTTTGCTTTGCCAATCCTCGCCTTTACATCTGTATCCTACCCTCATTGTTTATCAATGATGCTTCCCAGTTACGTGAATGCTTCTACATCTCCCAGAGTTTTTCCATCAAGTATGATTGAGTTGGTGTTCTTCGTGTTATATTTAAGATTTCACTCATAACTGACAACATTTAAACTATTTATTGGATTTGAAGGATAATCTTTTTTGGTATATCGTTATTGTCTATATGTATGACATATAATTTAATAGTTGAATTCGTGAGTCAGTTGAAACTAAACCATTATGAAAAACCTAAAAGTAAAGGATGACCGTTTTTTCTGCTGTGAGACTCCTCAGTAATGCTCATCCACCATCCCGCCTCACGAGGTTCGAACCCAAGACCTATCGGCCTGGTACACGAACGTTCAACCTCCACAACTATAAAATTACATCATTCTTTATTCTCATTCTCTTTACTTCGATCTTCTTAACCTTCAGTTACTAGACATTTGACTTTGTGTTGGGATGACCCTGCATTTTTCTCTCAAGCGGCATAACAAGCTCAGGGGTCATCAAGGAGCATTTCAACCAATCAGCGGTTAATTAGAAGTTATGTTACTAAAATAACGAAAATGGAAAAGTCACATGTGGAGATCCTGATTGGCTGATTTATACACCGCTACTATGTTTAGCAGTGTTCTAGAACTTTCAGTAAAACTCAAGGACTCTTAAATTACTATCGAAATCCCCATATTTTCTGTACATAAATGAACCTTGCAGTAAAGTACTTCCCTCACACTTTGTGCTTTTTCTCTGGTCTTCAAGTCGGTGTATAGTTCTAGCTCGAGGGTACGGAACTAGCTTAGGGAAGCGAATATAGCATTCACAATCAGCCAGACATAACACTT